AAAAATTATATTAGTTTTAAATGAAGTCCAAAAAAAATTAATGTTTTCATCTAATTAGCAATTTTGTTTATTAAGCTAATATTTTTTTATAATAAATTAATGTAAAAATAAAAATATAATAATTATGTAATATTATTAAAGACAAAATAAAATTGAAGCTAATAAAATAAGTACTAATTAAAAATTATGGCCAAAAATTCAAAAGGATAAATTTGTTAATTAAATTAAAAAATTCCAATCTGCTAACAGTTTAATACAAAAAACTACCTTGGATAGCTTTTTTAATCCATTGACAATTTGGACCCTAATCACTATCCTACTAGTCCTAACTTGTCAAATAAAAAGTTTTACCAAACACCTAATTTGTAGTGGTTTAGAAATAAATAAATCTATCGCACACTTATTTTTAACGATTTGGACAAAATCACTAACTATTACCTCCAAATTGCTATACCAAACGGGCCCTTAAATGAGTTATAAGCAATAATGCATTATTTTAATCACATAATTTATTTGATTCTAATCGATTTTTTCTTTAATAAACTCAGTTATAAAAACATAAAGTGAATACCATTGCAACCAATTTCACCAATTTCACCAATTTACCACCCACCCTTGAATCCAAAGTATAAAGCAGAGACACTCAATATATACTTAAAACATATTACAACAAACAAAAGTTGTAATTATTATAAAATTTCACAAAGTTTGTCGCAACTGAATTAGCATACAAGAGGGGTTAAAACCTCAATTTGGTCCTTTTACTTTAGTAAAAATTCCTTTTTAGTCGCTCTACTTAAGAAAGCCCCTTTTTGGTCCCTAAAGTTTGAAATCCGGTTCCTTTTTAATCCTTCCATTAAATTTTGACATTAGATGACGGAAATTTCAAGATAGAGGGACCAAAAAAAGGACCTTTTTTTTAAAGCAGAGGGACCAAATTGAGGTTATTTTAGCCTTTTTTTGGTTTCTCTACTTTAAAATTGCTGTCATCTAACATATTACGTATGTAAAATTTAATAGAGGAACTAAAAAAGGGGCAGATTTAAAACTTTAATGATCAAAAAGGGCCTTTTTACCAAAGTAAAGGGACCAAAATGGAGATTTAACCAATAAAAAAGTTCCTAGAAATGCAACATTTGTGTGACACCCTTAGGCAAATTTCATGTCGACAAAGCATGGGATAGATGATTGGTAGATGGATATATAGGTCAATACTCGTTAACTCTTATTGACACGTTTTAAAATCGTGAGGCTTGATGAGCTAAAGCGGATAGTACCAATGTTGGGTTGGGTCCAGATGATGCTAAATCACATTTTTAGGCAAATCCCACATTAATAAAGCGTAAGAATATGCTTGGCAAATAGGTAGGTAGGGTTGGGTTTAGATTAGGTCAACTCTGGTGATAGATTAAATTAGTAGGGTCATAAATGGATTAGGGATTAGCAAGGGCTAACCTTAATCTAACCTTAACGAATTACGGGTTAACCCATGGTTGGCCCTTTTTTCTTTTTTCTTTTTTTTTCATTTTTATCAATTCACACAACATATACCCTACTTTAAATCTCATTGTTCCAGATTGTTATGGTGTTTGACAACAAAAATTGATAAATTTGGATAATGATTCCAATTGAAAGCTTGTTAGGATCATAATATTAAGGTTAAAACCCCTTTTTGGTCCCTGAACTATTGTACGGACCCTCAATTTGGTCCCTGAACTAAAAAAATCCCTGATTTGGTCCCTACTGTTTACCATTTTTACCCCGATTTGGTCCTTCCGTTAAAAATTGTGTGACGTGGCATGCTACTTGACCGTTACCAAATGACATGTCATATAGTAATATAAAAAGTGATGATGTGGAAAAAAAAGTGATGATGTGGAAAAAAAATAATATAAAAAATATTATGAAAAATAAAACTTAAATTTTTTTT